ATAATAATAAATAAAAATTGTAACAGGTCACATACAAAAAATTAAACCCCAACAACTGTTATATATGGGTATACAATAGAATTAAGAAAATAATGTGAAAGTACAACAAAAGGGAGGGAGCACCACTGTGGGGTGCAAATTGGGTTCTAGGGAATTTGTTCTGGGGAGCTGGGGGTTGATTTATAAAAAATATTTGCACATTTTGATGGGAGAGGAAATGTTCTTGTGAAAACTCGACGTTCGTACAAAAAGTAAAACATCCATCGGTGTGACAAAAATGCCCAACGGCAGAATGGCAGCATGTAACTGCTGCTGTTAAGAAGGTCAAGCTGGACAGAGACAGAAATAAAAAATAACTGCATTTAACATCCATTTGATCGGCGTTCCTCTTCTCTATGTGGTTGGTGTAAATGGGTGTAAATTAGACTTCTCTGGACCATTTGTAAATGTGCAAACTTTATCAGGGTTTGTTTCATTTTTGTTGAAATTTTCCTTAATAAATCCCAAAATCTTTGTATAAATGTCCATATGAATGCTTCATGGCTACAGTAATTCGTTCATACAAAGCCTTCATAAATGAGCCCCCTGATCTAGGGGAATGAAAAACAAATGAAATTATATAGCAGCGATCAAAAACATGTTGCAGGTTTTCTGACTCAATCACCTGTGTCACAGTAATGATGGACCTGGACTACAGGGCGCTGTGGCAGTTCAGACGTATGATCATCTGCATGATCCCCAGCAGCTGGCCTATGCTGGAATACGCAGACTACGGCTGTTACTGTGGAAAGGGAGGCACTGGGACACCCGTGGATGATCTGGACAGGTCAGGAGTCATAGAAGGAGGATGCATTACTGTGTGTGGTTATGTACTTCTGTGAAAATAAGTGTGTGTGGTGTGTGTAAAATGTGCATGTACTGACAGTTATAGGTCTGCAAGCCTGATGGGGTCTGACAAGACCTAAACTGACAGGCAGATTTGGCCTGGGCCAATTTATTCATGTATTGCTTGTGTTTGTGCCGGGCTCACAATCATTGTAGCATCACGGCTTTATCTCGTACTGTATGTGCTGATCGCTGTAATAGGTGGAAACAGGAAAGACTGGAATTCAAGCAAGAGTCAAAGTATGACATCAAAGTATGTCCATCATGGAAATAAAGAATAAAATTGCGCAGCGAGAGCTTTTAACTGTTCAGAATAGTTGTGGCCTGTTTACAAAGATCTGTTTGCATGTTCGAGCTGATAAGAAAGTCTCCCAGTTCCCCACTTCAAAATTCCATTCAGATAACTTGTGGAGGAAGAAGGTGCACTGGGTGTAACTTGGTAGGTGGGCTGAGAGAGGACTGCCCCTATTCCAGTTTCTTATGGGTCCACCTTCACAATGAAAGGCCACTTGGGGTCAGGTCACTGGACTTTGGCCTTGGGGTTCCAGGAGTCAACTGGTGTGAAGAATGGCTGAGGGCAGCTGCAACTGAACTTAAATTACAGTTAAACTGTAAAATCTGCAGAAGCTTGCAAAACCAGAAACCTTCATAGTTCCTTCTTGGTCTTGGGCTCTGGCCACTTGGACAGTGTGGTGCTCTTAGCGAGACAGCCCTTGGGGTGTTATACAAGAAACTCACATGCTTTAACAAACATGGAGACACTGTAGCAGTTGTTGGATGTGGGATATATATTTGGGAAGAGGAGTGGATTAGCTGATCATTGATATACAATCAGCAACTGGTTTACTACTGGTTTACTGCTCCTGTTTCAGTGCAACTAGAATAAGATGAAGAGGAAAACGAAACATGTCTGACCTCATTCTGTGCCAGATAATCTATACAGGGATGTCATCTCCATGAAGAAAAGCTTTGACACTGCAGGAGAAGTGGATGGTCGGAAAAACCTTAATTGCAGCACTTCCACAACATTCTGTTCCATAGCCTATTCCTCTGGTAATGTAATGGGCTAAACCCTCTCTTAGGTAAAGGAAACCCCAGAGACAGGTTGATGGTGCAGTCACAAGGCTGGTGTCAGGGCAATCAGGTGACATTAACCTTGGTGAATACATCCGAGACATCGGGGCTTTCCACAGGTGTAGCAAGCAGGAGTAGCTGAAAGCAGGAAGTCACTCCAGGAAGTGAGATGCCCAGTTCTTCACAAGAGCTCCACTGGGTCCACTGTGAGGGGAGGAACAGATTAAGAAGAGGGGACCCCAAATGCAGAGCAGACCAGTAGCCAAAACACTAAATGAGAATCAAAGTCAGGGATAGATGCTGAGATCAAAAAGCTGGGGAGTCTATCCTGGGGAGTCAAGTGAGAGGGAGACACCCATGCAGATGTGGGTGTATCGGTACAAGCAATCACACTCAGAAGGGGATCAGGAGACGCACTCACCAGGCTGGGGATCGGGAAATATACTCACACCAAACCACACAGGAGGGAAAGCAAGCATTCGGGATAAGGTAGGGCATACATCTGCAATTTCTCTAAAAACTAGAGCGGCTCTACTGCTTATATAGCCCGAGTGATCACAGCACAATTCAGAATAGCTGTCAGTACTCCATTAAATACACCTGGGCGAGGGGGCATGGCCATGGAAAGCAATTGGGATCCATCTTCACATTCAGTTGCCACCACTGGGACCAATCAGTGTGGCTTCTTCACAGTGATATTCTGTCTGATGAGCAGAGCTGCACAGCTNAGTGAGCCAGTCAGCAACTCCATCTCATCACAGCTTGTATGTCAGTCCTTTTCATGTGAAACACGGTGGGCATGGAACCCAGCCAGTGAGCAAGAAAGAAATAAATTTGCAATAATTCATACAGAAATGCTAACACTGTCATCTGAGTTTGTCCTGGAGAAATGTGAAGACACCAGGATGGAGGGAAGTATGGAAAATGGGGCATTGAAAAAAACACAGCTTGTATGTTTTTTTAATGAAAATCTTTCCAAATATTGCACAACTGAATGGACGGAAGTAATACTGCAAACGGAACTGTCATTTGAAAGTTCTGAAATGGGAAACTGTTAACTATTTCATATCTTCAAGAGCTTTTAATAAACAAGGTTTACTAATAAACAACTGAAGGGCCACATGTAATCGAAACTCAATAAAATAAAAAGTCAGTCCTACACAGAATGAATTTTAGTACACAATCCAACATCCCAGAATAACATTCATTCTTTATAACTGAGTCAGAGTTATAATTTAGAATTGACTGTCTGCAGTGTAGCTGTACTCCAAAAACCTCAGGGTTTGGGGATTCAGATGCAGAGCAAACAAAATTCCGAAACAAAGTCAGTGGTAAGAGTTGGGGTCAGTAAGCTAAAAGGTCTTCCTTGGACTGCAGGGAAAGGCAGGCACACATGCAGATATGGGGAAGTTGAGACATACTCACTGGGCAGGGAATCATAGATCGAAAACACACAGAAGTGCACTGTAGGAAACTCAGAAACTTGAGAGAAAACGAGACAGTAGAATGCTCTGTAATCGCCGATAAGTCAGTTCCTCATAGTGGGCAGACTGCCGTTACACAGTGCTAGTTAATCACGGGACTGAGGTGCAGATGTCAGTGTTCATGAGAGTGAGAATAGAAAATTAGGCATATCCGAGGTACACAGTAGTCCCTGATAAGCACTGAAAGAATGGGAAATTAAATGTTTTATGGAGCCTCTGGGTGGTGTGATGTCCCAGGGATAGCCAGGGCACTGAGCTAATTCCCCAGGATTTCACTGATACTAAAAATGTGAATTGCAGTCTGTGTTTCACAGCTCATTGGAGTGAAGAACCTACTTCCCTGGTGAAAGTCTGGTTTTTGACCTATCACAAACTGTACTAACCTTTAATATATCAATTTTAACTCCCTTCGGACTTAACACATACCCTAAGAAGGAAATTGTGGGCATATGTAACTCAATTGTCTCATGTTTAGCCTGAAGGTGATATTCTGCAACCTTTGTAGGACAGCCTGCACATGTTTAGCTAGGGGAATATATCAGTATGTTATTTATGTATCTGGTAAAGAATTTATCAGTCATGTTGTGGAAAACAATTCATAAATGACTGGCAGACAGAAGGTGCACTGGTTAAGCCATACGGCATTACCTGGTATTCATAGTGCCCCATAGTGATGATAAATGTGGTTTTTCACTTGTCACCCTTTCTAATGTGAATTAGATTGTATGTGCTGTGAAGGTCAAGTTTGTAAAAACCTGAGCCTCTCATCAGTTTCAGAACTACCAGGCTTAAAGAAAGGGAGTCCAGAACATTACAGCAGCATCATTTATGGCTCAGTTGTCTACACCAGGAAGAAACTGGAGGCTGCAGGTGAGGTAGAGCATCTAATGAACCCATTAGCTAGTGCTTCATCATTATACTGGTCTAAAGCCTCACTCTCTTACCGAGACAGAGGGTATACCTTACTTCATGGAAGACGAGCACAAAGTAGTAGTTGGTGCAGTCCCACGAATGACTGAGAGCAAAAACAGATCCCCTTTCCTTAGTAAACGTCATGGTATAACTGATATTTGGGTGGTATTGGTTTGACTGGATCTGAATCCGAACTTTCACCTGACATGGATTGACATGGTATATTTATATAGTGGGTGAGACCGTCCACAAAAACCTGAATTATGTTAGAATAACCAGGGGTGCCCTGATTGTTGTGACCACGGGTAGCGTACAGGCAGGAAGCGGGGAAGGACGAGGCTGGCAGGCGAGGATGAAGGAAAGCGGGGTTTTATTAGGGTACAGACAGGGCAGACGGCGACGAACATCAATGACAGATCTGGGGAAACTAACTCAGACGCAGACTAAAATAAACAGGACAAGTCGAAAACAACAGGCAACAGGTGATCACAATTGGGAATTAACACGAGGTAATGAGGGGGGGGTGGCACACAGGAGGACTGAACACGCAGGTCATGACAGAACCCCCCCCCCTCAAGGTAAAGATGCCCTTTAGTCTCTAAGTAAATAAGCTCTTACATTTGCAAAAATTAAACATTTTAAGAAGTTACAGAAATCCCACACTTCATTCGAATAAGGCACTGGTTATATAGTATTTGCATTTCTGTATGCTTCAAGCTAATAGCGCTTTGAGGTGTGTCTCTCAGATTAGTTTGAGTTATGTCAGTGGAATCCAGATCCAGCATCCAGCCCAGCACTTCCACTACTTCCAGCTCAGCTCTCCCACATTGTGCCTCACCTGAGCATTGAGATCACCTGCTGGTAATTAGACCGCAAACAAATTTTTCCAGTTCCTGCCTTGAGGTGCCGTGTGATTGTCGCCATGACTGAGCCTTCCCTGCTTTTGCTTGGCTGCCTCTTCCTGACCTCTTTGTCTTTTGCCGTCTCTGATTTCATACTTTGTTCTGAAGCCAATTTGCCTGCCTGTTTTTTTTACCAGTTTTCATTATCTTCTCTGTGTCTGGGTTTTCAGCTTGATCTCTGTTAGCTTGCCTGGTTTTCACTCCTGCTTCCCGGATTTGACTACAGCTGTAGATTGCAGCATTAAAGACATCTTGCTTTCAAGATCAGAAAGGAGGTGTAAGTAGTCATGAGGTTCTGGGGCTGCTCCATGGTGACTGGGCAGATGAAAACCCTCCACACTCTCCTTCTGTTATCGACTAGCCTGTCCATCGGTGAGTATCCCATCGTTCCCCCGATGCCGCTCACCTGAACACCCCATGTCCTCTAACTCACTAAAGACCAGCTGTTTAAAGGACTGAAGAAGAAAAAATGATTTGGGTAGAAGGACTGTGTGCTGATTTAGCCAGCAGGGATTTTCGCTGAGTCAGCCTGGGGGTACTGAGTGGAGTCTCCCAGCATGGATTTTAGCTGAGTCAGCCTGGGTGCGCTGAGTAGAGTCCGCCAGAATGGATTTTAGCTGAGTCAGCCTGGGGGCGCTGAGTAGTGTCCGCCAACAGGGATTTTAGCTGAGTCAGCCTGAGGGCACTGAATGGAGTCCGCCAGCATGGATTTTAGCTGAGTCAGCCTGGGGGCTCTGAGTAGAGTCCGCCAGCATGGATTTTAGCTAAGTCAGCCCGAGGGCACTGAGTGGAGTCTGCCAACAGGGATTTTAGCTGAGTCAGCCTGGGGGTACTGAGTGGAGTATCCCAGCATGGATTTTAGCTGAGTAAGCCTGGGATCGCTGAGTGGAGTCCACCAGCATGGATTTTAGCTGAGTCAGCCCGAGGGCACTGAGTGGAGTCCGCCAACAGGGATTTTAGCTGAGTCAGCCTGGGGGTACTGAGTGGAGTACGCCAACAGGGATTTTAGCTGAGTCAGCCTGAGGTCGCTGAGTGGAGTCGACCAGCATGGATTTTAGCTGAGTCAGCCCGAGGGCACTGAGTGGAGTCCGCCAACAGGGATTTTAGCTGAGTCAGCCTGGGGGTACTGAGTGGA